ACTTCTGAGAGATTAGTCATTGAAAATTCTATGCAGTACAAGTTGCCTCTGCCATATATAGGCTTGCCATTAGTTAGAACAGACTCAGTGGGATCTGGTTTGGTTTCTTGGCAAGTGTAGGTTTAACTGTTTTTTTAAATGCCAAATTAGATGAAAGGTAGCAAGATGACAGTGTAGGCAGTAAGGCTGTACAGCCCCTCTACAACAAAGGCATGGAAAACCAAATGAAACAGACATAGATGACAGTTCTGGAACTCTGAGCTTCAGACAAAGGAAGAGAGCAAGATGAACAAACTGGTGGCCTGTGTCAGCCAGCCAGTGACACAGCGGCTATCTTAACCTTTCCTGAGTGGATGAAGCCACAAAGCAGTGCAGACACATACCAGTGGCTCACGGAGATAAAGGTATATATATTTTTTCTTGTTCCCCACATTCCCTTGGTGTACATGGGTAGGGGTGGGCCATGGTTACCACCAGCTCCCACTCTGCTGGTGGCCAGAGTTGCATGGAGGTTAGCATCATAGTTGTGAGCCCATCAAAGTGAGTGGGGAGCTACCCACACCAACTTCAGTGGTCTGGATTCAGGTGAGCTGTGCCCCAAACTAGGAAAAGCAGCTGAACAGACAAGCGGTGGTGGGGATAATAAACAAGGAGGCAGGTGATCTGTGCAGGTTGGTCAGGTGTGGCACAGCCATCTTGAACTTTTCCCTGGCATCTTTTAATGCATGATGGTGGTAGACTGTGAAGAGGCTTATTGGTGGAGAAAACGGTGCAAACTTTTTTCTTGTACCTCTAGTGACCAGAAGCGTGGTCACTCCATACTCTCAGTAAAGTCCCTGCTCCCTGGACAGTCAGAGGCACATCAAAGGGAGTGGAAAGCTAGGAGCACCTACCACATCACCTAGAGTCAGGTGTGGTCTGCTACTGACCTGTTGTACTGGTTCTGGCCAGCCCTGGACTAGTGGGACCTCTTGGCCTAAGCTGCCCTCTAGGATGAAAATACCCCGATCTCCCAGCTGCTGTGGGGTCTGCACGAACTACTTCCAGATTGGATGCCCAGAAAAGACAATACCTAGCCCCACAGCAACTCTATGTTACTAACTCATCCCTTGCCCATCCACAATGGAAGGTTCTTGGCTGACAGGAGACCCCAGAATTTTCTCCTATCTGGGTTGGCACCTATCCTGGTTTTCTTCTTTCATTGATTTTCTTCTGCTTTTCTTTCTTTCTTTCTGTTGTACTATTCTCTGGTCTCTTTTCCTATTACATTAATCTTTCTAACTGTGTTACCTCTCCTTCATTTTTTTTTTTTTATGGCTATTGTTTGCTTTTCTTCTCTTTTGTGTTTTTTTCTTCTTGCCTTACTCAACAGGAGACAGCAACTGGAACCATACAGCCTAGCCATAACCATACACCCTCTACAGGCCTATCCAGTGGGCAAGAGCCAACATCAACTGCTAGACACAGAATCAATGACAATAACCAACATCAACCAAACTGAGCTGCATGAACTATGAACAAATAACAATACACAAGCTTCCACCCCCTAGTCACAGCTGACACCAGGAGGCAACAGGTGAGTGCCTAAGAATACAAAACATACAATCATCAATTTAATACAAATATAATACCAGCACAATGTATTGGAAGCAACAATTTCTGTTCACATGAAACAAGACACAGTGACTTAAACGTAAGTGGCCAAGAGGCAGAGGTTGAACCAGTTTTGGAGGAAAAAAAGGAATTGAAACTACCTGAAAAAGAATATTTGGGTACCTCCAAATGATTAACAGAAAGGTCAAAGAAAACAAGGAAGAATTCAGGAAAACATTATAGTAATAAAGTGTTGGAGACAACACAAAACCTGCAAATAGAAATCCAGAAAACTAATACTCAGATTTCAGAAATGAACAATACATTGAAACGGCAGAGTAGAAGATTTGAATCAATGGAATCCCAAATTTGTGAACATGAATATAAATCTCTCAATACTAGCAGGCTACAAGAACAATCAGAAAAAAAGAATGGGGACAATATGAAAAGGAGTAATTTTGGGTGATCGGCATTCCATAAAAGGAAGAGACAAAAGAAAACACCAAAAAGATAGTTGGCTAAAACTTCTGTAACATGCAGAAAAACGAAAAAGCAAGCATTTAAGAAGCCAAATAAACCCCAAACAGGATGTACCAAGAATCCTGAGAGCAGCTCAAGATAAACAAAAAGTTGCCGACATATGAGAATCAATAAGATTAAGCTCTGATTTTTCAGCAGAAATCATGCAGGTAAGAATGCAATTGAAAGAAAAAACTGCCAACCAAGAATCACATACCCAGCAAAACTGTCACACAAATACAATGGCCAAATTAGAAAATTTCCACATAGACAAAAATTAAAGGAATTTGTAATAACTAGACCAACTTGCTATGATTAAAATATATATATATATATATATAAAGGGAGTCCTTTGGACTAAGAACCAACAATAGCAAACCTCCACTAGAGAGAGACATACAGTCACACACCCAGAATGCAATCCACAATCCAAATACAGAAGTGTGCACAGTAATGTAAACCTACATGACTGCAAATAAGGATCCAAAGACCAGTTTACAATGAAGACAACTACAAAACTAAAAGCAGGAAAGGGTATAGTTACAGAACTTCCAAGTGGGGAGGAAATCAACTGCATTTCAAGAAAAAACAGACTATCAAGGATTAAGCCTATCCCCTCAGTACAAAGGGTTGATAGCCAGTGTCCGTCCCTACTGAAAATGGGGAGTAGTGGAGGGGACTATAAAGGCACAAAGTGGCTGGCTTACAAGTTTTCCAGAGGGAATTTAGTTTAGGAGTGTAGGTAGAATCCCCAGTGAAATAATTTTCATCTAGACGGGTCTGGAGATGAGGATAGTGGCAAGGTACAAAGGTCAATATACAAAAACCAGTTGCATTGCATTCTTCTACACGAATAAAGAAAGCTCTGAAAAGGAAAGTACAAAACACTACTACAAGAAATCAAAAGAGACTTACAGAAATGGAAGAATATACCATGCTCATGGATAGGTAGACTTAACATTGTGAAAATGTCAACACTACCCAAAGCAATACATATAGATACAATGCTATTCTAATCCAGATTCCAGTATCATTCTTAGAAGACATGGAAAAACTGATCACTAACTTAAGAACAAAGTTTGGAAGGCTCTCACCTCTGATCTCAAAATCTATTCACACCCTCAGTGGCCAAAATGGCCTTGTACTGGTACAATGGAACAGAACTGAGAAGCCAGAAGTAAATCCATGCACATACAAACAGTTGATCTTTGACAGACGGCCAAAACACATTAAATGGGAAACAGACAGTTTCTTCAACAAATGGTGTAAGCAGAACTGGAAATCCATATGCAGAAAGACCCGTATCTCACACCATATACAAAAACAAACTCAACGTGGATGAAAGACCTAAATGTAAAACATCTAGAACTATAAATAACTGGACTGCAGCCACTCCTGGTAACAACAGTTTAAGTTTAAAAAACAGAGGGCTGTTTTTTTGTTTTTGTTTTTAACTACAGTGTGATAGTATTCAGCATCTAAAAATAAAATTGTTTTCCCACTTTGACTTTCAGATGCAGTGAACTAAATCAATACTTCATTATCGTTGTGTTAAGTGCTGTTGAGTCGGTTCTGACTCAGTGATCCTGAGGGTTTCCGAGAAGCAGCTGGTGAGTCGGTTCAAACCCACCAGCCTTTCCTTGACCTTGCGGTTCAAACCGACCTTGCTGTCCAGTGCTTATCTTACAGCACCACACCAGGACTCCTACTTCCTTACTAGATAGTATAACAGGAAAACAAAAAGAACTGATGTATTTCAAACTAAGATGCCTGGTGAGGAATATTGAATATACTGTGGACTGTCAAAAAACAAACAGATTGGTCTTAGAAGAAATACAACCAGAATTCTCCTTTGAATTAAGGATGATGATAAAGCTTCCACACACTTTCCTTGGACATGTTACCAGGACAGACCAATTGCTAGAAAAGCACAGCATATTTAGTAACAAGGGAAATCTTCGTAAGATGGGGTACACAATAACTGCAATAATGGGTTCAAACACAACAACGGTTATGACAATGGTACAGGACTAGGAGATATTTCATCTTGTTATACATTAAAGTCACCATGAGTCAGAACTGACTCGATGGCAACTAACAAGAAAGTTAATCATCCTTACATTTGTTTTGTTTGGGTTTCTTTTGCTATACTACTATACTTAAGATTTACATCAACATTGACACATAAATGAAGTTGGCCTAGAGCAGAATTTTCCAACTTTTGTTTCACAGGATATATTAGTCCATGTTTCTGGGAAAAATGCTCTAATCCTCACATTCCTTTATATGTAGCTTATTCAAATGTAAAATATTTAGAGAGTTACAAAAATAGATTAAGGAAAAAAAAACAGATTAAGGGACTCCTGGTATGGCACTATTGGTTAATGCACTGGACTGCAAACTCCACTTGAAACGGGAGGTCTAAGGTTCAAGTTGACCAGCTGCTCCTTGGAAACTCTATACACAGGGTCGCTATGGGTCAGAAGCCAACAGCACTTAACAACAAAAGAAAAATAATACTCATATAGCTGCTAGTAAATGAGCTAAGATTCTGCGCAGGTCAGTATTGTCATCATCACCCTTGAGATCAATAAACTGTTATTCTTGTTATTAAATGAGAAGTATTGTTTAAAACAAGCTGTTTACAACAAATTAAGAAAGAGCAGCGATTTTAATAAAGCTAAGCATTTATATGGGATATACGGGAAAAATATAAGGCTTTCTACTCTCAAGGATTTATAGCCTCAGAAACCCTATACAGACAGGGTGGCTATGAGTTGGAACCAACCTGATGGCACTTAACAATAAGAAGTTTTTATCGTAAAATTATATGTTCTTTTATGAGAAAACAAAAGCGATGATTCAAATCTGAACAGGAAGTTACCTACCTGAGTGTGACTGATTGCTATATGGTTACCATGAAGAGGTGACTGATGATCTTTCTCCTTATTGTGACGGCTACTCTGTTTACTGCGCTGTAGTTGCTGCCTCAGTTTGGCTATCTGCTTGGCAGGGAGAAGGGAAAACAAGAGAACAAAAGTTAACACCAATTTTTGAATATTCATTTAGGTTTTAGGTATTGATAAATGAACTCTTTTTCTCAAAGGCTTCATAAAGAGCATTTTCACTTGATTCTTTCAACTTTTTATGATTAGCTTCTAAATCTGAAATGCTGGTAAATATATAAAATAAACTCCAAAAACCTAGTATTTCACATGCTTGAATCAAAGCTATCATCTTACTATAATAACATATCACTAACTAAACTGGACTCTTGGTGTAGCACTGTAGAATCAACACTGGACTGTGAATCACTAGGAAGGCAGTTCAAACCCATTAACTACTACTTGGAAATGCTATATGGGGTCATTGAGTAGGAATCTACTTGATGACAACAACAAATATGCATAGTCATACAACTTTTTAAAACAATTATAATTTAGGTTCTATTCTATCTTAAAGTGAAGATTCACATTCCCAGGATTAAGAGACAAAGCATACTATGATATGCCTTCCAATTCATTATTCACCTATTCAAAGGGCTTCGAAAAATTCCATGACCTTTTGCTTCCATTTTCCGATGAGTTTTCTAAGGGCCCTTGGTATATTTCAGGTGATGTTTAAGAAGTAGTCACAACTTTAGAGTCTGGGTATGACTCTGTAGGATAAGCACTGCTAACGAGGTTGTTGGTTTAAACCTATCAGCTGCTCTTTGGAAACCCTATACAGGATCACTATGAGTTGGAACCAACTCAAAAGAACTTAACATTTTCAATTTGGAGTCCTGGTGTGGCGCTGTAGGATAAGCAGTGGACTCCTAACTACAAGGCCCACAAGCCTCTCCTCAGAAACCCCTATACAGGCTCAACAGCATTTAACATTTGGGGGAAGTTATTAATACTAGCATTATTTTCCTTTGTAGAATAGATAACATTAATCAATCAACATTGTTCCCTGAACACCTATGGTGAACCTAATTACTTGTTATCTAGGGATACATGTAATTAGGTTATACAAATACAAAAGTCAGCAGGTAGATAAGTCAGTAAAAAACAACATTGATTTCCTTAAAGACATATAGAAAAATAATACATTTTTCTCTAAGTATTATATTATTTAAATACTTACCTTCAAGGCAATAAAAAATGCATAACAAACATACTATTAAAACCTCTAAAGAGGAAATGTATGTAAGGCTGTTTGGAAAACTGATGTTGAAATTTTGATTTTACCCCTGGCAAATAGCAAAAGAGAAATATGGAAGGCTATAAAGTACTCACACAAAGAAATAATATTCTTTATTTTATACTAAGATCTTTGTATTATCTTAATTTTTAAAAAAGTTCTCTGTGTTCATGGGCCTTTCAATACAATGTCCCCAGCAAAACATGGACAAATATAACTATGCTAGGACAAATATAAAGGAAGCTCTGGTAGCGTAGTGGTTACGAATCGGGCTGCGAACCTTAAGGTCAGCGGTTCGAAACTACCAGCTGCTCCGCGGGAGAAAGATGAGGCATTCTACTCCCGTAAAGATTTACACCCTCGGAAA